CTTTTTATTTTCTTCATGTATGATGTCCTTGATGTCATCCCACAACTCTTCACTCTTCTGGTCTTTGGTCATTAGTGTTCAATGTGTCAAAGCTATTCTTGAGATGGTCTCTAAATTCAGGTCATACTTTGGTTCTCATGGACTCGGTTTAACTTTCCTGAGCTTCAATTTGAATTTGCACATTAGCAAATTGATGGTGTGTTCCACAGTTGTCCCCTGGCTTTCTCTTGAATGGTGATATTGGGCAACTCCATTGCCTTTTTCCACAGATGCAGTCAATTTGATTCCTGTGTAATTCATCTGGTGAGGTCCACATGTATAGCCATCAGTTGTGTTGTTAAAAAAAAAGTACTTCCAATGAATAAGTCATTGGTCTTGTAGAATTCTATCATGCAATCTCTGGCATTGTTCCCATAACCAAGGCTGTATTTTCTAACTACTGCTCCTTTGTTTCCAACTTCTGCAGTCCATTCCCAGTAATTATCAATGCATCTTGATTGCACATTCAATCATTATCAGACTATAATAGTTCATAAAAATCTTCAATCTCTTCATCCTTGGCATTTGTGGTTGGTATGTAAATTTGTTTTTTCTTCTTTCAGGTATACAATTTAGTGATATTAATTACATTAATCATGTTATGCAACTACCACCCATAATTGTTGCCAAATTTCCCATCACCATAAATACTCACTCAACAAAAACTCCCCCATTCTCCCTCCCTCCCACCCTGGTAACCATTAATAAACTTTAATCTCTATACATTTGACTATTTTTGTTACTTTATATAAGTGAGATCATACAATATTTGTCCTTTTTTGACTGACTTATTTCACTGAGCATAAGGTTTTCAAGGTTCATCCATGTGTGTAAATTTGAATAATGGTCGTATTAACTGGTCTTCCTTGTAGGTGTATGGATATTAACGTATCACTGATAGGACAGGTCTTGAAATGTTCTTTTTAACAAAGAATACAACACTGTTTCTCTCCAATTTGTCATTCCTGGCATAGTAAAAGGAGCCCTGGTGATGCAGGGGTTAAACACTCAGCTGCTAACTGAAGGGTCGGTGGTTTGAACTCATCAGCTGCTCTGCACGAGAAAGATGTGGCAGTCTGCTTCCGTAAAAATTTCAGCCTTGGAAATCCTAGGGGCAGTTCTACTCTGTCCTATAGGGTGGCTATGAGTCCAAACCGACTTGATGGTAACGAGTTTTTTTTTTTTTTGGCAGGGGGGCATAGATCATATGATTGTTGGATACAGCTCACTAATGTCTGGGATGTTGATCTTCAAGCATTCCATTTCATTTCTGACAACTTCTAATTTTTCTTGATTCTTACTACATACATTTCATGTTCTGATTACTAATGGATGTTTGCAGCTGTTATTTCTCATTTTGAGTCACGCCATTGTTGGACTGAAAATGCTAATACCAGTCCATTCAGTTCACTAACGTCTGGGTCTTCAAGTGTTCCATTTCATTTTTGACAGCTTCTATTTTTTTTGATTCTTACTTCATACATTCCATGTTCTAATTACTAATGGATGTTTACAGCTATTATTTCTCATTTTGAGTCATGCCACATCAGCAAATGAAGGTCTCAAAGGCTTTACTCCATCATGTCATTAAGGTCAACTACGTTGAGGAGGCAACTCTTCCCCAGTCGTATTTTGAGTGCCTTCTAACCTGAGGGGCTCATCTCCCAGCACGATATCAGACAGTGTTCTGTTACTATCCATAAGGTTTTCATTGGCTAATCTTTGGAAATAGACTGTCAGGCCTTTCTTGCTAGTCTTAGTCTGGAAGCTCTGCTGAAATCTGTTCACCATGGGTGACCCTGCTGGAATGTGAAATACTTGTGGCATAACTTACAGCATCATAGCAACATGCAAGCCACCACATTACGACAAACTTTGAGTCTCCAACTATTATTGTTAAATCGTTGATTCCTCCCTTCAATTCTGTCAGGTTTTACTTCATGTATTTTGGGGTCTGTTGTTAGGTGCATATACACTTAGGATTATTGTATCTTCTGGTGAATTGATACTTTAAAGATATCTCTTTTTATCCTTGGTAACTTTCTTTTCTCTGAAGTCTACTTTGTCTGATCTCAATATAGCCACTTGAGCTTTCTTCTGATTAGCATTTGCATGCTCTCTCTTTTACTCTAACCTACTTATATCATTATATTTGAAATAAGTTTCTTGTAGACAGCATACAATTAAGTCACTTAAAAAATCCATTCTAACAGTCTTTTTCTAATAACTGCCATTTACACTGAATATCATTACTGATATTTGGATTTATTATTTGCTTTTGTTTTATTATTTGCTTTCTGTTTGTTCCCTCTGTCTTTCCTTCCTCTGTTTGCCCTTTCTTGCCTTCCTTTTAGGTTATCTGAACTCTTTTCAGTATTCCATTTTATCTACTGTGTTTTTATATAAATTTCTTTGTATAGTTTATTTAGTGGTTGTTCTAGGGATTACAACACACATATTTAATTTTCATAGTCTACTTAGAATCAATATTTTCCCACTTCAAGTAGAATACAGAAATATTATCACTTTTAACACCTTTTACTTGCTTTCCTTTATCCTGTAGTTATCTTAGGTATTGCATCTTCATACACTGAACACCCTATCAGACAATGTTATAATTCTTGCTTCAACTGTCAATATAAAGATCTTAAAGAAAAAGAATAGTATATTTCATTTCCCCAGATATTTACCATTTCTGTTGCTTGCACCTCATTCTTTATGTCCCAAATTTCCTTCTGGTTATCAGTTCTCATCTGTATAAAGAACCTCCTCCTGTGATTCTTTTAGAGCAGGCCTGCTGCAATAAAATTTCTTCATTTTCCTTCATCACAGAATATTTTTATTTTACCTTCATCACTGATGGATATTTTCACTGGATACAGAATTTCAGGCTGACAGTTCTTTTCTTTCAGGACTTAATAAGAATTTTGTACCACTTCCTTCTGGCCTTTATGGCTTATAAGGAGATATTAACAGTCATCTGAAATGTTCTCTGGCTGCTTTCAAGATTTTTTTCTTTGCCATTAGTTTTCAGCAGTTTGATTATGATGTGTCTAGGCCTGGGTTTCTTTGGGTCTATCCTGTTTGCGATTTGCTGAGCTTCCATAATTAACAGGTTTACGTCTTTTGCCAAATTTAAGAAGTTTTGAGCCATTATTTCTTGGACTCTAATGACACAAATATTAGACTTTTTGGTATTGGCTTACAGGTCCCTGAGACTCTGTCAATTCTTCTTCTCTGTTGTTTGAGTTGGATATTTTCTATTGATCTATCTTCAAGTTCACTGACTCTTTACTCTGTCATCTCCATTCAGCTATTTAGACCTTCGCATTTATTATATTTCTTAGTTCTAAAGTTTTGATTTGGTTCCTCTTTATAGCTTCTATTTCTTTGCTGAGACTTCCTACCTTCCCAATTGTTTCAAGAGTGTTAGCTCTTAATTCTTTGACTATTTTTATAATAGCTGCTATCTGCATCACCTTGGCATTGGTGTCAATGATTGCCTTTTATCCATGCAAGTTGAGATTGTCCTCATTCTTTACATACCAAGTAATTTTGGATTATACTTTGGACAGTTTGACTACATTGTGAGACTGTGTCTTGCTTAAATCTCATGGAGATGGTTGATATTTTTGTTGTAGCAGGCAATCAACCCAGCTGGGTTCAAGCCATGAGTTCCAACCAGCCTTCTGTGGGTTATGGTTTCAATGTTAAGATGTGTCCCACAGATGGCCCACTCAGTGGCCCATATGAGACCTGGGCTATGATCTATTCCTTAGTTCAGTTCTCAAAATCTTTGTTATGTGTTTAGGATATGATTTACACAACCACATCTCAGGGATGAGCCCAAGAGTCCAAAAACATCTCTATGGGGTTGCAATTCTGAGCTCCCTGTCTTTGATCTCCCTGGTACTTTGAGGTTTCCTAAGCTCCCCTTATTGGTCCTCCAGCAAGAAAGCTTAAGCTCTAGTTACCTTGCTCTGCCTTATACTTCTCAAGACTGGGGGCGGGGGTGGTGGTGCGGGGAGCAGTGAGAGGACAGAGACAAAAATAAGCAACAGGGGGTCTGCTCCTCCTCTAATCAGAGAGGAAGATTACCTTCCTTCAGAGTTTTAGGGGCCTGTGAGTCTTTGCTAGAAACCCTGGTGGCATAGTAGTTAAGTACTATCTGTGGCCACTAACCAAAGGGTTGGCAGTTCAAATCCACCAGACACTCCTTGGAAACTCTATGGGGCAGTTCTACTTTGTCCTATAGGGTCACTGTGAGTCAGAATCAACTCGATGGCAATGGCTTTGGTTTTTTTGGTTGACTCCTTGCTGCCACTGCTGTTGCTGCCCCTGCTGTGGTAAAACTGCTTGGTGGCTGGGACATGAGAAAACAAAAAAAATTAAAAAGAGGAAATCAGAGGTCTTTTTCCAGTCTTTCTGAATGTTATATGAGTCCCCTTTCCTGCAACTTGAGTCAGAACTAGCGTGCTTTTCCTGGAGCTCTCTCCATCTGTGCCTGGCACCTGCTTCCAGGTTTTGGGCTGCTCTGAGTCCAGGCTGAGAGAGACTGGAGGACAAACTGGAGACTCACCGCTGGTCTAGTGGTACTTCAAGTTCTGGTCTTTTTTTCTCGATTGTGCTTGCTACTGTTTACTTTTCAGAGTCCTTACATAGCTGCTCCATGCATTCTGCCAGGTTTTATAGCTGTATTCAGTGGGAGAGACAAGGTGGAGCATGCTTACCTAGAACTGCCTATTTTATTTTTTAAGACTGATTTTCAAGCATACTGTTTTAGGTTTTTGCCCTGATTGTTAAAGGCAGGGGTAAAGCAGTCTCAGAAATTTTCAACTGCTAATGTGCTCGAAGAGCGTAAGAAAAGAATGGTTGCCAAATTCATATTAACTACGAAAGTCTTACTGAATCTCGAGTATTCCCTGTATACACTTTCCCATGAATACGTGAATATAGCTTACCAGTTATCTCCACATGTTGCAGCTTTGTTAAGGGTGTGTGATATTGCAATACTGGTTAGGTTATCTTTATGATCACGAGCCTGAAATACCTCTTGGCCAATCTCTCGAATATGAGTAGAAATAACCACAAAAATTCCACATGAAAAGCCAATCATAATGTAGCCATCACCATACCTACGGCAACAATACAGTAAAAAGGAGCATTAACCATAAATGGCACTACAGTAAATTAGCAAGTACCTTAAACTAAGGAATTATAGAATATAATTTATTAAGACAATATTCTAGGTAGTTTTATATACTAAATCATAGACTATCATCCAGAAAACGTTATATACAGAATAGAATGCTACAGAAAAGAAATTATATAATTAGTAAAGGAAAACACATGGATGTCTTTCTATGATGACTTTTTTGTACATACCAACTATAGCAGACGATTGTGCCATAGCGCTGCTGAAATTCTAGATCAATTGGGCTATCTGGTTCATTCAGATTAAAAAGAAACAAAGTTTTCTTGCCAACCACCACACTTATCTGCCAGAGAAGGTTAAGAAATAGTGAAATAAATTACTCAGTACTTCATGAAAAGACCAATAACAAAATCCAAAACAGCTGAACCTAATTTATGTAAACAATGAGCCAAATTTAGGTGTGCTATAATTAGTAAGTATACCTAAAAAAAAAGCTGTAATTAGTAAGACAACCACGTGCCTGACACAGTAAATGCATTTTACAAACATATTTCTGTAAGGGTCCTTGGAAGGAGACCTGGTGGTGCAATGGTTAACTGCTTGGCTGCTGTCTTAGTCATCTAGTGCTGCCATAACAGAAACACCACAAGTGGATGGTTTTAACGAAGAGAAGTTT